TAAACTTTTTAATTAAAATTGTCTTGTTTTAAAATTGCAATTGAGAATAAATTTGTTCAAATATTAAAATATGTTGTTTTTAATTTGTTTTTTGTTTAATTGCAAAAAATTTTTTTGAGTGCATTTTTCCTAGAAAAACCGTTGAGATCACAAGCTAGTTGATTAGAAACTAAAATAAAAACCTTTTTATGAAATTATTAATAAATTATAACAATTTAAATATAAATCCCTTTTAAAGTGTTTTACAATTAATTATAAATTGAAGTCAATTATTAAATCAAGTAATTATACAGGCGGAGCTTAAGACGGTCAGTGGCTAACGCTGTACTTTAATTCATTTAAAACTGCATTTTATTGTGAAAAACTCATATTTTTTAGTTACTGTTGTGAGTGATAAAAGTGTCATAAAATACATGAACTTATTTCGAGTACTTTTTATTTATTAAACAAAATAAAGAGTATTAGAAAATTTCTAATAGAAATGAATTCAAATACAAATGCATTAAATAATACAAAATTAAACACAAAAAAAAAAGTGTTTCACAAACGATACAAATGAAAAATACTATCAATAAATGCGATCAGAGATTCACGATATATGCTATTCATTGGTTCCGTGGCTGTGGGCAGTGGACAGCTGCCAGACCCGTGTAATCCCTACACTTCACCTTCTTGTGGACGTATGCGTACGAGTGCTCCAGAACTGCTTCGCGATGAAAGTAACCGAGATTACAGTATTGGCAGTACCACTGAATGCTGTGCTGGCGTTTCGCTGTCTGGCCTTTCTTCGGATTCTTGCGCACAACAATGCCTTCGGCGGCCAACAGAGCGTTCATCTGGTGGTCAGACCAGCGGTTCAGCTCCTGTGGATAACCCGTGCGCAACAGTGCCTCCAACTCTGGGAATTGGTCCAAATGAGCGACCATTTTATCCATGGAACTCAACGCCAGGTTACAGGCGGTGCAGATGAAGGCCTCGGTGCCCGTCCCGTTCACCACCCGTACGCCGTGGATCAGCGCCTTCTCTTTGGTCAGGTTATGCATGTTATGCAACGCTTTCTTTCGGGCGACCAGTAGTTCCGTGTTGTCGGTGGTTATGTCGGCTGTGATGAGTCGGTCGATGCCTTTAAACACTTTATTATCCGAATGTGTCTTCGACTGAATGTGATTCTGAATCTCTTTCAAAGTCGCGAAGCGATCGTTAAAACACACCAAACACTTAAAGCCAGAGATGGATCCCTTCGTCTTCGAGCACTCGACGCCCTCTTTGGCCAAAGCCATCACTATTGACGGATCCAAGTCCTGGTGGAACTGCTCGAGACGTCGCACAGACTTTTTGGTCATAAACTTCGTCTCGTAATCCATGGGCTCTGACTGTCGGTAATGTGCGAGCATTTGGTCCGAATCGGCGAATGACTGCAAACACGAGAGGCATTCGTAACACCGAAGACCGGAACCGGTGTTCAAACGGATGCCGTGTTTCACGAGTGACTGCATCTGAAATTTGCTGAACTTCAAGGCCTCGTGCCGTCGGTTCAACACTCGTTGCAAATCGCAATCGACGCCCACTTCCAGCAGAAATATGTTTTCCACTCCTTTATAGCACTCTTCGGACCGCTTCCTCTTGTGTCCGATGTCTGCGATGTGTTCAACGCATTCATCCATTGACGGCACCAGTAGTTTACATAATTGACAGTAAGCTTTGCCGTCAGTCACGACCAGACTCTCGTTGTCGAGCTCTGGCCGAGTGTTTGTTGTATTGGCCACAAGTGGTGGTGGATTTGGTTTGGCTTCTGTGCACTCATTTGGTCGCCAATTATAGCCATCGATGCCGTCATTGCGACCACTATTGCCGTAATCGACGACTTGAGGCCGATATGACTGTTGCGGACGAGCGGTCGGGTGCTGTACGACACGGACAGTACGCTGAGTGCCGGACGAGGTATTCGTGTGCTGTCCATAAGTGGGTGCCGTCGATGGCGGCGGAAGTACTCTCGGATGTAGAGGTCGTGTCCGCTCTTGTAATGGTTGCCCCGACGGCGCCGACGATGACTGTCCCGGCATTGCGTAAGCCATGTGTCTGTCCTGTGATGGCTGTTGTTTTGATCGCTAGATTGTGTCGCTATTGGGTCGACAGTTGATCCCAAGAAGTAGTTGTGGTGTGACTTAGTATTGGCACTAATGATGTGATGATATGTTGCGGTCGACGACCAGATGTGTCGGTCTCTGAGTCTCGCAAACGAAACGCCGATTCAATTGAAATTCAATTATTGAATTGTGTTTTGTCTCAAAACTTTCAAATAAATCAACGCATGGTTTGTGTTATGTTTGCCGTTATTAATGGTCACGTTTTGGCCTTTTTATATGTAGGCTATAGTAGAGTAAAGTGTGTTATAGTGTGTATACAATAGTACTAATGCTTCGTATGGCAAACAGAAAGTTACAAACTTTATTCAAAGTTTTGTTAATGAATTCAATTAAAATCCAGACATTAATTGATGTGATTTTGATTGAATTTAAACGCAATTAAAAAATACAAATAAATGAATAAATAGTGTGATTAAGAGAGCCTTAAAGAGTGTGTAGTTGTTATGAACGCCAAGTGTTATGCGGTGTATATGCGGTGCACTCCTCCCGAGTCCAGTGTCTAGAACTGGTTGTAATGTCCAGTGTGTGGGTCGGCACGGGTTTAGGCGGGTTTGCAGTGGATTTAAGTCTTGTCTTTCGTTTACTCAACAATTATTTTCAAATGAAATCAATATTTTATTATAAAATAAATACAATATTTATTTACAAAATGAGTTGATATTTAAATAATAGTAATAATCGGTAATTAAAAGTATAACAAATATATGTATGAAATGAATGGCAATAAAAATGTGCAAACATTTCAATAGTTGGAAATGGATTTCACAGTTTTGCGATTCTTCATCAGCTGTTGATAGTATTTCTCTCCGGTGTCGGCCTGTGTTGGGTCGGTCTTAGTGTCCGCTCCGGGAGTGACTGCGGCCTTGGCTTTGGTGTCCTTAACGCCGCCGTATTGTGAAATGGATTTCACTTTCATGTGATCTTTCATCAAAAACTCGTGATATTTTTCACTCTCTTTCTCAGAGACGTC